TCAAATTGTCTCGCGACCCTATTTGACACTATTCTGAGGTCCGCTTGGCCTCGATAATGCTATGCGTCGCCGCAGTTCGCGCTCCGGAAGGTTACCACAGAAAATGTTTGAGTTAGTAGGTAAATGCCGGGAGCCCGGCGGGATCCAACAGCATCTCACGCTTTTAGGCGAGTGTTATCGTTAGCCCACCAGGGCGCGCTCTGCCCTCTCAGCTCAACATGGAGTTCGACTTTTGCCCATAACCCAACAATCTTGTGGTAGCTTTCGAGACGCGAACGGCGTAAATTAGCATTAATATGAACCTTCAAAAGAGGTCAGTTCAGTTGAACTATCAGTACACCCTATGACTAATATTTGAACCAGCGGAGGCGCGTCCACCACTCACCAATGTCAGTTTCCCATTTGCCCTCTACTGCAAGAACTAGAGTTATGCGCTCACGGGAATCCCGAGACATGAGGGTACAGACAGCCCTTGTGGAAATTATATTTGGTGCTACATAAATAAAACATATGAAAGCCTATGGAGGAAATGAGATTATGGTAAGACCTTACTGGAATAGAAAACAAATTAGCGGCACGAGCACCATTTGAGGAGGCAATACCCCGGAAGAGGAAAAAGAAGAAAAAAATGAGGAAACTGAAGAAAGAAGAACGAAGACGCTTTCAAAAGCTAGCAAATTTTAGGAAGAAGTGACGTGGGAAGAATGAAGCAAGAAGAAATGAAATCAGATAGCTACAAAATGACCAAAATGAGTAAAAACATGAGGAAATATTCCTCCTTCCAGCCACTCTCGTTAAGCTTTCGCGCTGTTAAAGCTAAACAAGAGGGCATTTCGAGGAATTCAATCCACTCCACTGAGTGAGTCATCATTGAAAATGCAACAAAACAACCCAACAACCTCACGAAGAATCTGCCAAGGTCGAGGTGAGCGGGGAAGTCGCTCAATTCAAACGTTAATCGAGCCGAGCTATTTGCATAAAGCGTTCCCTCGGTGGGTGATACGGGCTATGCCCGCATTCATGGATATTTATGAGGTTGGTTTGAAACAGGCCAAACGGGTTTACTTACGTAATCAAAATGGGGAGACTCATGAGGTAGTACTGTACTTTGGAAAAAGTGCACTGAACGAGACTGTTGGTGGATTTGGTGAAGTTTGTGGTTAAGACTATTCCTCGCAACACCACTCGGTCACGACACGAGGACGTCCACCCTCGGTGGTGCTCATAATTCCATGTCTGATCAAGTTGCTCAAGTTGGGGAAATTGCCATCCAGGGCACGTGGGACGTTGGGAAAACCCCTAATGGGGGATCGTATTTTGTCGGTGGACGGAAACAGTCGTAGCTGCCTTCAAAAGAAATTTTCCGAGTCTCGAAAAAAATTCTTCCGCCCGGCCGCTTCGTTGGCGAAGCAGTTAAGGCGATATAAAGTCCTGCACAACTATTATTTACGATAGCCGTATGAGTGCATCCTTGGTGGCGACCTCCCCCGGCCCTCCCTCCGCTCGACAGCAGTTTGTTTTTTGAAAAAACTGCTGTCAACTGCTGTCGGGTGGGGAAAACTGGAAGAATTGTTGGAACAAAAAGAGGTAGGAAGTTTGGGAAACTCAGGAAGATGGTAGGTGGCATGGAAGAGACGAGAGTCGTATTTTTCCAGAGCTTGCCCCGGCGCCGGAACGTACCTTGCTGCCGAGAGAGGTGGCCTTGGTTCCCAGTGGGTGTCCACTATCGTGGTCACCGTCGAGAACAGAACAGATCCTACCGGGGGAAAAGTTCTGCAAAATGCCAACCCTCTCAGCAGGTACTCCTCTGGTACAGACCTTTTTCCCTATCCCCCATCTACCATCTCCCTAGATTTTCCCAGCTTCTCACCACATGAAGATTTCTTAGGAGGGAAGGGGCACATAGCACACTTAGAACCGAGAAAAGTCAAAAACTTCAGGCACTTTTCTTGAAAACAAGTACGACTTTCGCCTCCCCCCTCCCTTTCCAGCGACCAAACAGGACCCCGTACGGGGATAATCAGCTACGACGTGCACTAGTCGGTCGGGAAGGGGCTAATTACGACGTGCACTAGTCAGTCTGGAATGGGCTAATGCTGCCTCAGGGCAGTTCCCCATCAGGCAGGATTATGTGTATGAGTAACCTTCCACCTGAGAGCAACGATAGAGCCAAATAAACACTTATTCCAGTTCACTGACTACTTCAAAACCCCTCGAAGGATACCTCGCGAGTGTGTGCATGAAGGCGCAGTTCGGCGACGGAAGGGGGGGGGGCATTTTGAACATTCGCTGCTTCACTAGTTCCGGTTAACACTTTTCCTCCGGTAAACTTGTGAACTCTTGTGAAGCTGAGCACGGTCGTCGAGCCACCATGGTAAAACCTGTGAACTCTTGTGAGCTCATGAGACAGCTCATGAAATGAATTTCATCGTGAATTTACGTTGACAAGTGCTCTTACAAGAGTTGCGCAGTCTTTACAAAATCTGACAGTACTACTTCGTGGCTTCACAAGATTTCACAGGTCTCCCCTTGATGGTTCGACATGTCGATGGGAAGTAGCAAAAGCGAAAAATGCCCCCCCCCCTTGCCAAACTGCAATCTACATGACTATTTCCGCATAACATTTTTGACTACTCCATCCGTTAATTGACGGCTCAGCTCATAAACGGCTGCCGCTCCATTCAGTTGAAGCTTATATAAAAACATATTCAATGCACAATGAAAAAAATCACATGACATTTAGAACCAGTGAAAAACAAAAAAAACAAAAGTACAATTTCTTTATCTTCTTTTCATGTGTTGGGATAGAGAGAAATGAGAAAATAAAGGCTCAGGAAAACGAGGATGTTTTCCCAACGCGAAGCGTACAGTCAAATCCACAAAAGTGCACAAAAGCACACTGCCAGACCAGTTTACGGTGAAGCTGATAAAATTAGCCATGGTATATGCAGCGGCTGGATTCCGCCCTATTCGTTCGCAACTCATTTCCGATTCTCAACCATTGGCTAAAGACCAGAGGGCAATTTGGTCACACGTGGACAGTAGGGGAGGGGGGCATTTTGCACCTTCTACTGACATCAAGGTGTCGAGCCATCAAGTAGAGACTTGTGAAAGCTTGTGAAGCAACGGAGAGTCCACCTGTCAACTCTTGTCAAGCATAGCTGTCAACTATTGTAAAGCAATGGCTCAGCGAGTTTGCTCCAGCTCCACAAGAGTTCACAGGTTTCACCAGAATGAGACTTGCAAATCGGAACTAGTGAAGAAGTGCAAAATGCCCCTCCCCCTCCGTCACTAGATTGCACCCATCTCGACAATTTGCTTTTTTTCCAGCAGGCTGCGTTCCGCTATGCGGTGATCGCTATTGTAGCGAAGCGATTTGCAGACAATGTCAGCAATTATGGTGCAGTATTGCTGCATAATGACAATGCGCTAATGATTTTCCGCGCTGACAGTGGTCGAAGAAGTTTGCAGCTGCCTGGCGCTTAGCTCTAATGAAGCAAACAGTCTTGTTCGCTGCGGGCGATGGGGCGTGTCAGTGAGCCTGGGTTTGGCACGACGCCAGTTGTTCTCCGCTCCCTGTTGAAGCGGGTAAGCTACAACAATCGATTGATACAAACGATATGATGCAGTCTTGTCGCTTGCCCGAAAAAAAAGAAAAGAACGAGCTGGCGTCTGGCCGAACCCTCCGCCCCCCCCCCCCTTAACACGCATAATCCGCAACGAACAAGACAGTTAGGATACCAGCGAAATTTTTAAAAAAGCCATAGAGGAAAAAGTGGCAAAGAAAACGCTGCCGCATAGCTTCCGAGCCTTCACGGGAATAGTGGGCTTTACTGGGTCAACAAAGGCAAAAACGTAGGCCTAATAAAGCCATCCAATCCTTCAAGGGCTTGAAAAAGGCTCAAAAAAACGAGTGGGATATTCATCATGTCAAGATGGATGGAGAGAAAACACTCTTCTGAGAAATGAGGGTTTTTACCTAACTGAAACTCCAAACCCATTATCGGAAGAAAAAGAATGGAAGGCTTCATGTACTCTTCACTGCGCACTCGTCAAAATTAAGGTCACATTTCGATCCTTCAAATTTTTCTAGCCATGGGTTTGGCCAAAACTTCGCTCCTGTAGTATTGCTACCAGGTAGGGTACGTCGTACCTTGAAATCGCTTGAGAGGAGGGAGGAGGGAGGGCGCATTCGCCTCTGAACAATGTCTTTGGTTATCAACTTTCCTAGGGTTAATCCTGGTTCACGTTGGCTGAGAACCCCTCCTCTTTCTCCACCGCCTCCCCATCCCCTTTTCCCTTCCTCCGCCCAGCTCGACAGCAGACCGTGCTGAAATTCTGAGGAATGGTTGGGGAATGGTCGGAAGTTGGGAGAGTTCAGCAAGATGACAGGTAGGAGGGGTATGTAGGTAGGAAGGGGATAGGGAAAAGGGGTCGTATTTGACAAGTTTTTCCACATCAGTAGGGCTTTCTTGTGCCCTGATTGTAACCCCCGGGCACGAATATTGTACCCCTTGGATGAGTGAACGCCTCTCTCCTCCTGTATGGTCTCCGGAGTCACTCACTGATTAATATTTTGGTGCTGGCGCCAGTGCCACACTTACGACGTGTATTCGCACCGAGCAAAGGTGATATTCCTGTTCGGGGGTGGGGGGGGGGGGGTCAGCCTAACCGCCGGCACAAACCTTCAGCACGTTTGGTGTTCGGGATGAGCCTGGCGCCTGTGGAGTAGCTCAAGGCACTTCGAGCGAAACAGAGAAATAATTTTATTTCAGGGGTGAGGGGGCAGATTATTCCAAGGAAAGAAACTCTAGCAGACTCCACCCATGAGAAAAGTTTCAACCACATTTTAGACTGAATTCTGAAGTGTGGGCCAGTAAAGGGCAAACAGTGCGTATGAAAATAAAAAGGGCAAACAATTGCATAGAAGAAACACCGAATTATTATACTAATTACTGCCTCGTGAAATCTATAACGAATTTTATTACACAACGAAGCACTTACTGTGTTGTAGGATCGCTCACCGCCTGCGCTAAATCGTCGTCACCAGCCAAGGATGCTCCCAGTACGTTAAAGTCCGTTATTTGTTTCGACCTTCAAATGACAAATTAGGTTAGGAACCCTACAAAAACGTCGTGACCTCGTTACCATTGATAAACTCTTCAAACAAATCACCTTGGATCGCGCACTTCTATAGAAAATATATTCTCTTTATAATATAAATTATCCAAATAAAACCAGTGAAAGTCCTGAAATAGGTGAGATATTAAGTTTTTCTCATTGGTTTCATGAAAAAGAAAAATGCATAAGAAAAGAAAAATTATGAAGAGAAGAAGCTTAGCTCGTCTTTCTCGATTCTGTCAGAATCGAGAATAGGACAAGAGGCCTGAGAAAGAAAAAGTTCAGCAAACAGGGCACGTCCTGCCGTTAGGGAAAATTCTTGTAGAACACGACCACCCACCCCCTTCCCTCAAAACTCCCCTCGGATATGATCTCCCATTCCTCATCCAGCCTGCAATCTCCCTTATTCTTCCCAACTTCCCGCGACTTTTCCGAAATTTCTTGTTCCTATCACTTCATCTGAATTCTTCATAAGTTTCTCCACTTTTCGCCCAAAATACTGTTAAGGAGCAAAGGGGGGAGGAGACGGGTGCCAGTGAAACGGAGAAAATTCGCAACGTAAAAAATTTTAAAGAAAGGACCAACGGCCAGAAAAGAGCCCCTTGCCAGAGATTCCCAATGCATGATGTGCTCTGTCACCGAATCGCGAAGTAACTAGAAGTAGTGGCGAAGTGCGTTATAAGCTGGTGTAAGTAACTGTTGGAGGAAGAAAAAAGAAAAGAGAAAACGGGTGAGTCAGTCATCTGCAGGGAGGACCCACATGTGTTAGTTTGATACTTTGTATCCTACTTAACTGCGTCAATGGATGAGTTTATTGAGCCTGGCGAGGTGTCATACAGCGAAATGATGGCGAGCAGCACGACAACAACAAGCAACAGAATCTTATTCAACATTTTCGGCACCGTTCGGATTGAAGGGGACTTTCTGCACCTTCGCTAGATCTTTCTGGAAAATCCTGTGGTACCAGGATTCACTTTGATAAGACCTGTGAATTCCTGTAGAGCTGTGAAATGGTGTGAGTGAGCCGCTTTGGTCTCAGGAATTCACAGATTTTTCACAAAGTGGTCTGTGCAAGTTTAGCTGACTACGCTGGGCGCCCCCACCCAGTCGAACTCCGCCAAATCCCTTGGCCTCTGAGTTCAGCGACTTGAATATAGAACTCTGAATATAACATCATGACGATCAAAATATTGATCAGCCATGGATACTCACAACATCTAAAGAAGTAAGGCACGAAAAATACAGAGACGCGATCACTAATCTTTAACCCCATTTGCAAGCCTCATGGGTCTCGTAAATACGAAATTAGGTAAAGCAGTACCACGAATCGTGGTTTAAGCGACTTGGCCACTCGGCAAAAGTGATTTGGATTGACTCGCTCCTCATTTACTCCGAGAATGAGGGTGGACCAAATGATGAAATGGCAAATCTTATTCGCGTACGAATTTCCTGCGTAATTTCGAAGGCGATTTTTCAAATTAAATTCATCACAACTTTTACTAAATCTTCAACAACATTCGTACGGCTAAGATTAAAGTATGAAAGGATAAAGCTTTGGGCGTTGATTAATTCCCGTTCGTTCGACTCCCATTCATTACAGATTGAGAGCTATCTAGCCCCACGGTTGCCGAAATAGCGGCGGTTTGAAAGCTAAGCATCTTCGTTCAGGAGTTTTTTAATCCTTTTCTTCAACCCTCGCTTTTCTTTTTCCTACTATACAGTTACTGCGTAGGCAACTTGTACACAGAACATTACTTGTTTCCTAGCAGAACCGCCGGTGCCACCTAAACGCCCCGCGGTTGGAAGACTTGCTACAAATCTGAAGACTTGGCTGGAGGCGACTCGAGGCTCGTCCCAGGAACGCACGCATAGTAGGCGGTGCCACAAGACAGCACCTTCGCCTACCTTTACAAACACTGAAAACAACAAAAAAGGACAACTTGGCGCTATTTACTATTTACAGCCTCCTCTGTAGATCGCCGCGCACGCGAAATCGCGAGGTCCTAGAGACCGTCTCCCGATGAAGCCAAAATCCTTAGTGAATTTCAAGATGTATGCATAAGCAGTTGGTCTTATAGTGAGAAAAACATCACTTCAATGGAAAGAAAACGAAAAGTCGTGAGAATACGTAGCGTAAAAATTCGAGGAGTTTTGCTTGGCGCAGAAAACTAGTCGAACATTTCAGATGAAAAGAAAACCCTAATAAGTAAATTCCGACAATAAGGGATGTCTCCGAACAGCTAATATCAAAAACTCGAGACAATTGCCCAATTGCCAGCACACTATGATTAGTGCGCTGTAAGCAAACTGGTGATATGCAGCAGCTGGCGGACACTTACTTCTGATGGTAAATAACTACGAGAAATGATAGCACAGGTGTTATGCAAACACACTTCTAGCCAGCAAGTAGCAAACTAATAAAGACCACTACTGTGTACCAGTACAATAGTAAAAATTGAATCCCTCATAAAATAAAACAGCTTAAGAATTTGTCGCCCCCCCCCTCCCACCCAGGCACATCAGTGGATAGGGGGTAACGACTGTGGAATACGGAAAAGGGACATAACAAGATGTACTTCCAGATACAGTAGAAGTTAGGTGACCGCAAGCAACTAATCTTTACCCAAAGTTTTTTTTATTAATTTCTAAGAACATACCTCCTTTGGCCGAAAGGTATCAGCGTTTTCGAATACTTGTATTCCACGACTATTTATAGAGAGAATGCAACTAGAACCATTAGTTTCGCTGACTCGATACAGTCGACTGCCGTATTTCAAGCACTTCTCCACAATTTGCATCACCCTATAACAGAAATCGTTCCGCCAAAAAATGCTACAAAGGGAAATTGAGCCGTAATAACTCGGGGGGGGGGGAGACATCTGAAGGATTCCTTGTGCAAAAATCGTAATTGACGTTGACTGAATAAATCCTTCAAATCGATGCACCCAACATGGTCCTTACTCATTGAGACTCAGGTGAAAGCCAGTTTTACAATCATTTCAGGGACGCACCAAGGCTACTAGCGCCAAACTGAATAGTTTTCTTGGTTTTTCCTTTTTCATCCACCTTAGATACTCTTGCCTTCCGCTCCATGGCAATTATTTGGGTAAAAAATGGGAAATCCCTGAAAACCTCCACAAAACTTATAGGAAGTTGATGGGTAGGATGAGGAGGGGGTCATACCAGAGGATGGATTTACCTGAGGGGTCGTAATTTTGCAAAAGTTTTCCCCCGGGCAGAACATGCCCTCCACCCTACGCTGATAACTTGGAGTGTAATACTACGCACATTATGTCCGGATTAATCGACAGCCAATTATGGAATGCTCCTTTCTTCGGGAGAGCAATGAAGGTAATGATTCGAGTAACGGATAGCCCGTGTAGGCAAAGGGACAGCAGGAGAAAAAATATTTATATTCTGCGGTAATATTAGCTGAACAGTATCCAAGATCTTCACCGAAAAATTCATTAGGAATAAATTGTCAACAAAGAAAAAATGAAAAATGAATGAAATGACGAAAATGAAACACTTACGAAATAATGGCAGACCCGCGTTGTAAACCACGTAATTTACTATACTCTGCTAGTACTTGTTTCTCGAACGAGCTCTTGGTTAACACCATATTGCCTCGTTAACCGTGAAGGAAAGGGAAGGAGAGACCGTAGATGGCTTATCAAGGAATTATCGCTGCAAAAGAAAACTCCATTAAGCAGGAAACAGCCATCTGGCAGGAACTTATTTTCATAAATCGGGCTAGAAGGATAATTCGCATTCATACTTTGCGACTGAGAAGACTCGATGATTTGGGAGACCGGCGGTTGCGATAAGGCGCGACGAAGAAAGTATAGGTATCTATTTGGCGATTTGCTGGATGATCAGATCGATACCCATACGTTCCTTGTCGGGCAATATCTCGAACGCCGAGTCTCCTCACTCGCAAACTATGAACGCTGCCTGATGCTGCGGCTAATATCTTTAGCAGCGGCAAATGCGCTCAAATGAAGGACAAAGCCAAAGAATCAATAAAAAACCCACTCAATAAAATCACCACGATAAATTTGAAGTAATAAACCACCAACACGAACGTAATCAATGTTGGATAAATCTAGCTGACCCTAAACGTTACTGTAATTACACCAATCAGAGGTCATTTCAAACAGCAAGATTTATTACCTTCCGCAATTGCTGGTGCGCTTCAAGAAAAAACATTTCAATGGTGGAAGGATTTTCCAGGCACAAAATGGAATCGACGAAAAATCTGGAACGGCGCGTATTAATGCGTAACATTATCGCGCAAAAGTTGATAGAATCCCTGCAAGAGTGCCTTTCATTTCCTACTTCCGGTGAGGAAAAAATGACGCAATT